GACAACCTCTCGTCAATATGCGTTTTTCGCATTGCATTGCTGCAAAAAACGCATAAAAACTGGCACCCTGGATTATAAGGACTTTAATGATGAGTGAAAAAACTCGCAGTTGTTTGGTGAGACAGCGTGAGATGTGGCATTTGGGCTCTGCCTGTGTCTCAAATCCAAATGCATATTCTGCACATAGGCAGATTGGAACGGGTAGGGGGCATCTTTTGCCCTCCTTTTTTCACAGGCACTAATGTTGCAAAAGTACGGGTGTATTCGTAAACAAAACTAAAGTAACTCTAAATAGTTGTGTTACAACTTTATTCCTAGTTCTTGCAGAGTTGCAGGGTGAAAGCTCTTCCCCGTCGCTTCCCTCCAGGAGCTCGTCCCAGATCCGCTTGTGATTCTGCAGGAATGGCCACTGAATTTGCAGTTATTTGGGACAGAAAAAAGTTTTTCGCTGAGAACAGAGCAGGAAACTCGCGGTCAACGACTCAACTGATTTCTGAGATCAGAATGGCGATGTGTGCATATAAACCTCGGTGTTACTCAGATAAAGCCTATACTGTGGGCCCAACTGTGCTAGACCTTTCTGCTCTGCCGTGGCTTCTGTGAGCGATCTTTCACAAGGTGCACCATCCACCTCTTAAAATTATTGAGCTGGATACTTTCTGTCGCGTCGCCTGTCCATAAAATTTACAACGCCTGACAAAAAAACTTTCCTAGATGAATTTGCTAGCTACACGCCAGTATCTATCTAAAGCACATGCAGCTATAACTGTGTTGCTTCAGTGTGTAAGTAGTTTTATACGTGTGAATTACGCTATGAAGCAAAACACTTCATAATAATGTACTGCGTGCATTTTGTTCCCATAGGAAGTGAAACTTTGCCCCCTAGTTTCCAGTAACAGGAAACTATCCTTATAGTCGGACGACATTTTCGATAAACTCGCCCAACTTGGTTCTAGGCTCGAACTGCTCCAAGTGATAAATCGGCGATTTCATACGTCGTATCGCAAACTGCACCTTCGAAGCAAGAATCAGCAGCGGAGTCGGCATCGAAAACATCGCTAGCAAAGCTCCGAGCTGCTAGAAAATCTTTTTCCGGGAAACAAGCATTCGACGTGGACCCGAAGACGGCTACATTCACTCTCAAAGGAGGCTATTCACAGTATGCTGCTATTATCCACTAATTAAAATTAGGGGGCACTCGGGAAAAGAGAGTAAAATTCGGGTTCCTTCGAAAATATTCTTACTTATTTTGCGTCCCAGCGGACTGCTGATAAATTTTGAAACTATTATTTAAAGAAAAAGTTGTCCTCCACAAGAAAAGCCAGGACACATTCACAAGAAAAATTTTCCAGAAATGCCTTCATCCCTTCAAAAATACTAATTGCGTGATTAAAATTCGAACGATTTCCATTCCAACCACTCGCAGGCACACGTCAAACAAACTTGCACATTTCGACAGTTCAGCGCAGTAGTGTTCGGCGAGCATATGGCACTAACATTCAATGCCCCACAGCGATAATTCGAGCAGACTTTACAGCGATGATAGCGCTGAAAGTTATTTAACAAACCACTAAAAGACTTCCAGAGCATTTCAAAAACGACGGCACCTCTCATCAATACGCAAAGAAACCGATGCGATCATGCGTTTTGCGCAGTTCCGTCTAGCGAACGTTTGCCTGCTAAAGATTTCCACTGCTTTGCACTTTGGTCTGTGCAAAAATAGTTGAAATGTTGTCCGGTTCCAAAGTTGCGAAACTTCCCATTAAAATCTTGCACGGCAAACATCCATACAAAATCAAGCTCCTAATTTTCTGGCTTTTAAGTGACTTTCGCGCCAAAACTTTCATATGGCCGTGCGTGACTTCTCGACGTACTTGGGAACTAAATTTGAGTTCGTGTGGCCCCAGCACAGGCGGAAACAACCTCCTGAAATTATCTGCCTCCGACATTTTCTAGCTTCCGGAAAATAATTTTCCCGCCAAGACATTCACGGGGCGTTGAGATCTAGGCGTATGTGACAGCCGAATTTGAATTTGCAGGGTCGCACATGGGCAGGGGACAATACCTTAAAATTTCAGCTTCCCAGCTTTCGTGGTTCTCAAGATAATTTCCCTCGTCTACACTTTCGCAGGATCGTACGTGGCACCCAAACCTAGGGGAAAGCTGAATTTAAAACTGCGGAGTTGTACCTGAGCAAGGGACATTTGTGGTGAGAACACAAGTTTCTTTCCGACCTTGAATTTTTTGGAGTTTCCTATTGTTATTATAAATAACCTCAATTGCTCTGGTCAATTAGAGGTAACAATGGGTGTATTTTTGCGACAGCAATAACAATAAGAAAACGGTGAAGGGTAAGGTCTGATGTTGACGGACGGCGTCCAGATGTTGGTAGACGGCGCTTTGTCGGTACGAAAACAAATGTTGACACAACAAATTTGCTGGAAAACCGGCTACTAAGCCCATCTGAAGCTTCGCATCGTTCCAGCTGGGCCCAGCTTACAGAAAAAGCTGCATACATAATAAATGTTGGTGTCGCTGACTGACGGCGGCACCGTTATTACAAAGGAGGTTACGGTATCGCAAAAAACACAGATTTATGTAATTTATGTTAAGCTTGTATCTCTTTCGCTTCCTTTGTTTCCTTTCCCCATTCGAGGCGCTTTTCCTGCACAACACTACCATAGAATTTTAGCTTC